AGATATACATTCTTTAATGATTAGTCATGTTTAAAGATTGTCCAAATAAAATATTAGATACGTAAAGCTTTTTTCTCTCTTTCAAGTGTACAGGGTTAGTAGAAATAGTACTACCATTACATCGTGCCATTAACTCGCCAGCTCATTGTCAGATGGTGGTCAAAAAAGAAGCAAAGATTGGCTAGGACAGGCCAAGATTTCCGAAGATGCAATTTAAAATTAAGCCAGCCCTTGGCCAGAGGAGACTGTCCAGTTCCGTATCAGCTGTTCTGCTAATTTTGGGGGAAAGTAGGTTGGAACTTCTTAGCTTCTAGCATAGGAAGCCCCAAGAGTCACTTGCCCCTCTCTAGCTGAACAAGGTAACATCAGAGGGCACTAGTAACAGTCATTTCTTGGCCAGTTTCCTTTTTTAGAGTTTTGTGCTTACACAACTTCTGAAAAAGATTCATCAACTGTTCTTGTTTTCCTACCATTTTCTCAGTTTTAAGCATTTCTAAGATACTGCTTTCCATTTGCATGCATTAATCTATAGTTAGAATGAAAAAAAAATTGAAGTGTGATTGAGTACTGCTCCTGCTCCTGCGCCTGCTCCCTCTCCCTAGAAAAATGGTCGTATCCCTGGTGGCCAGTTTGGTTCCAGGTACTCACCATGTTCCCTTCTGCCTGGTAAATAGATGTTTCCAACAAGGTCTATAATTCTTAGGGCTTGCTGACTTTGGGATTTATCTTCCAAAATCTTCTTTTCCAGATAGGGGTGACCATTCACTTAATGAGCATTCTGTCAGTATAACATCAAGGCAATTGCTCGAAATCTAGAGATTTTATAGGATCATGCAGGCAATCGACTTAATCTAAATCTAACCCTCATGTTAAAAAATGCTTATAAGTAAACTTAGATATAATATAGCCATAAAAGAATTGATTTTGGAAATATATATATATATATCCACATATTTTGAGCTTAATCATTATATATGTGAAAGAATTCTTGTTATGCTTTTCTGTCTCTTGAGATTTTTCTGCTGTTTATCTAGGCTTGTGATGATGGATGTCTGCCGGATGAATCTCTATGTACAGATATTTTTGTTTTTCTTCTGACCTGCTGACTAATAGAGCAGGACTGGTTGCGTATTTTGAGGAGTAAAGTGGTGTTCTTTTTGTTAGCCACTTCTCCTCCTTTTGTCTCACTCTTTTCTCAATACATTGAAGAGATATACATAACTTGCTTTTCAAAAAAAATGTAAAAAATAAGACAAGATTAGTATAAGAAGGATATAGAAAAGTTTCATTAATTACTTGATATATGTTTAAAATACATCATTTAGTTCCAGATTGAATGATACTATAAACATGTAGAAAATATAGCGAAAATTGAATTCACTAAGACACTAACCCTGTTCCTTGTCAAATGGAAACATGTTTTTGCAGGGCTTGGGCGTGTAAAAGTTTATATCAACTTGCACACATGATTTGCTTCACCCGGTCTCTATCTTCTTTCGTCTTCACAGAAAGCTGCAGCCAGCAGTAATCATAGACTAGACTGACTGTTAGTTTCATATGCTAGCTATTCTCTGTAAATTATATATAAACTTGAGTATGGAATCTTTCTGGGACTAGAGAGAGGAAAAATAAAGGTTTGCATAAGGTAGCTTAAACCTAGCACAGACCCCTCTTCACTGTTGTACTGCCTAGAATAATAAAAAAGAAATATACTAGTATGGTCAAAGTAATCCTTATAAATTAGCTGCAGAAGACTTTGGGTCCTGAATATCCTTCCCACAAGTTTCTGCAGAAAATATTTTGACAGATCTCTGATGGCTATTCTTTTAATTATATTGCATGCTACGTACTATGATAGATTATGAAAAATTAAGAAAAGTTTCTAAATTATTCGACATTTGATAAATTGATTCAATAAGTTTATCGAATTTGAATCTTAGAAATGATCCATGGTATCTAATTAATGAAGGTGATAATATTTAATATCTTCATTTTAACTATGAAATTTAGGAATTAAAAAAAAAACCTATATTTGTCATGGTTATATTTTGATAAAATAATTACCACAAAAAATCGATGTCTTCCATCACCGGAGACTGAGGGAGAGGGGCTCTAGGTTTTCATTTTTTTTATTTATATAAAAATCAGAATATATAACTTCACAATACTTAGATAAATTAAAAGAATTGATTTGGAGTAGTGGTAAAGTCTATAAGTTAAATTTTCAATGCCAGGATTCAATTCCTTCTAAATCTAAATTTTGGATTTATTTTTCTTTTCTTTTTTTTCCTTTTTTTTTCAAACTCAAATTTTAGAATTATTTTTCTTTTTTTTCCTTAACTCAAATTTTGGAATTATTTTTTCTTTCTTAGTTCAAATTTTGGAATTATTTTTCTTTTCTTTTTGCATTTAGGACCAAATTTTGGAATTATTTTTCTTTTCTTTTTTCATTTAGTCTCAGATTTTGGAATTACTTTTCTTTTCTTTTTTTTTTCTTAGCTCTTTCTTCTTTAACTCAAATTTCAGAATTATTTTTCTTTTCTTTTTTTTTCCTTAGCTCAAATTTTAGAATTATTTTTCTTTTCCTTAGTTCAAATTTTGGAATTATTTTTCTTTTCTTTTTGCATTTAGGCCCAAATTTTGGAATTATTTTTCTTTTCTTTTTTCATTTAGTCTTAGATTTTGGAATTATTTTTCTTTTCTTTTTTTCCATTTTTGTTCTTAGCTCATCTTTTCTTCTTTTTTTTTTTCATTAACTCATCTTTTGATCTTGAAGATGGATTTAATTATTCAATATTGATGACTTATGCAAGTTTGCTCAAAAGTTGTCTTAATGACAGTAAAATCAAGAAAAATTGCGTATAAAATATGAATTATAGAATTTTGAACTTGATATTAGGTGAGATCCATGTTAACAAAGTATTTCAACTCTCTTAGAGTTATATCAATTAATGTTAAAGGTAAAAAAATCAATTTCATATTTTCTTCTAAATCGTTTACTTGCATATGAAATATGAATTAGAGCATTTTGAACTTGATATTAGGTAAGATCTATATTTATAAAGTGTTTCAACTCTTTCAGAACTATACCAATTAATGTCAAAAGACAAAAAAAAAAATTGTATATCCTTTTCAATACCGTTTGGTTCAACTTATATTTTCAAATTTTATGGTAATTACAGAAGGTATATTTTCAGTTAGGAAAATTTGTAAAGATGAGATTGCATAATAAGATATAAGATAATTTTCTTATTAGTTTACTTATCCTTTACATTGAAAAAGAGATTGTCTTAATCATAAATGAAAATTTAATGTTAATTTTTTTTTATTTTATGTTTATTTATATTAATGAATATGAAAATTTATATTTAAATTTTAATAAAATTTTATAACATAATTTAATTTTATTTCAAAAGTGATTAATTTTTTACT